GGCAACAGACCTAAATAGATACTTTTCGAAAGAGGACATACAGAAGGCCAAGAGACATATGAAAACATGCTCAAAGCCACTAATCATCCAAGAGATGCAAATCAAAAGGACAATGAGGTACCATCTCACACCTGTCAGAATGGCTATCATCAACAAATCAACAAACAACAAGTGCTGGCGAGGATGTGGAGAAAAAGGAACCCTTGTGCACTGCTGGTAGGAATGCAGACTGGTGCAGGCACTGTAGAGAAAAATATGGAGTTTCCTCAAAAACTAAAAATGGAACTCCCATTTGACCCAGTGACCCCACTTCTATGAATATATCCCAAGAAACTAGAAACACGAATCAGAAAGGATATATGCACCCCTATGTTCATAGCAGCACAATTTACCATAGCTAAGATTTGGAAACAGCCTAAGTGCCCATCAGCAGATGAGTGGATTACAAAACGGTGGTACATCTACACAATGGAATACTATGCTGCTGTAAAAAGGAAGGAACTCCTACCACTTGCAACAGCATGGATGGAACTGGAGAGCATTATGCTAAGCGAAATAAGTCAGTTGGAAAAAGAAAAATATCACATGATCTCACTCATTTGTAGAATATAATGAACAACATAAACTGATGAACAAAAACAGATCCAGAGACAAAGAAGCATTGATCAGACCATCAAACCTCAGAGGTAAGGCAGAGGAGAGTGGGGGTAAGGGGGAAAGATCAACCAAAGGACTTATGTGCATACATATAAGCGTAACCAATGGACACAGATACCATGGAGGTGAGGGCATGAGCAGGGGTGGGGGGTGGGGGGAAGTAATGGGGGGATAAGGACACATATGTAATACCTTAATCAATAAAGAAAATAAAAAATAAAACAAACAAAAAAAGTAACTGCTCAAAATAATATTTTCATTGGTCTTTGGTGAGTGGGGCCTAAAATATCTATTGTATTCCCCTCTTTGTTTTAAAGCCCTGGGTCTCAAGGAGGTCCCTGTTATACTATAAATATGCCATATGAAATAATCTATATAATAAAAGCCTAAGTGACCAGAATGACCGGTCACTATGATGTGCACTGACCACCAGGGGGGCAGATGCTCAATGCAGGAGCTGCCCCCTGGTGGTCAGTGTGCTCCCACAGGGGGAGCACAGCTCAGCCAGAAGCCAGGCTCACGACTGGTGAGTGCAGCAGCAGTGGCAGGAGCCTCTCCTGCATCCACGGCAGTGCTAAGGAGCAGGAGCCAAGCAGTTAGGAGCAAGAGGTCCCAGACTGCAAGAGGGAAATCCAACTGCCTACTTAGGCTTGCCCTAGGCCGGCAGGCAGACATCCCCTGAGGGCTCCTGGACTGCAAGAGGGCGCAGGCCAGGCTGAGGGACCCCACTCCAGTGCATGAATTTCGTGTACCAGTCCTCTAGTCTACACTAATAAAAGAAAAACATGGTAATTGGCGTACGACCGCTACCCTTCCCATTGGCTAATCAGCATATCCTTATGCAAATTAACTGTCAGCCAAGATGGCGGCCGGCAGCCATGCACTGAAGCGAGCAGGGAGGCTTGCTTGCTCCAGTGACTGCGGACTCCAATGTTCCCCGCCTGCCGCTGCCGGCCTCTCAGCTGCAACTATGTTGCAAATATAGAAGCTAAACAAAACCCCAGAAACCAGCTTTCAGTCAGCGGGCTTCAGCCAGCCTGACCGCAACATTGTATCAAATACAGAAGGAAAAACAAAGGCCAGAAACCGGCTTTCAGCAGCCGAGGCCTCAGAGCTAAAGCTGGCCCAGAATAAAAAAAAAAAGAAAAGAAAAAAAGGAGCAGTTGGGAGCTTCAGCCCCTCACCCAGACTGGCCAGGCACCCCAGTGGGACCCCCACCCTAATCCAGGACACCCTTCAGGGCAAACCAGCCGGCCCCCACCCGTGCACCAGGCCTCTATTCTATATAGTAAAAGGGTAATATGCCTTCCCAGCACCGGGATCAGCGAGCAGCGAGCTCCCAGCACTGGATCAGCGTGACAGGGTGCAGCGCCCAACCCCCTGATCGGCCCTGCCCTGAGTGTGACAGTGGCGGTGCCCCAACCCCCTGATCGGCCCTGCTCTGTGTGTGACAGGGTACAGAGCCCCAACCCCCCTGATGGGCCCTGCTCTGTGCATGACAGGGGGTGGAGCCGCAACCTCCCCATCGACCCTGCCTTGAGTGTGACAGAGGGCGGTGCCCCAACCCCCAATCAGCTGTACCCTGAGCGTGACTAGAGGTGGCATCGCAACCTCCCGATCCGCCCTGCTCTGTGCATGACAGGGGGCGGCGCCCCAACTCCCCAATCGGCCCTGCTCTGAGCCTGACCAGGGGCTGCACCTAGGGATTGGGCGTGCCCTCTTCCACCCGGGAGCAGGCCTAAGCCAGCAGGTCGTTATCTCCTGAGGGGTCCCAGACTGCAAGAGGGCCCAGGACGGGCGGAGGGACCCCCTTCCCCCCCCCCCAGTGCACAAATTTTTGTGCACCAGGCCTCTAGTATATTAAATAATTGTCATAATAGTCTGTCAAGGTACCTAGTCATGATGGGCCACAGTGGAAACCACTTGTTATTGGCAATAATAAAAAGAAACAAGAGCAATAAAAGGAAACAACTACTGATACATGCAGCAACATGAATGAACTTCACAAATATTATGCTGAGTGAAAGACACCGATGGATACAAAAGAAGTTCATACTGTATGATTCCATTTTTGAAAGTCTAAAATACATAAACTAAGGAGGGCATGAGGGAACATTATCCAGTGATGAAAATCTCCTATGTTTTCAAAATGATGTGGATTACACTAATGCCTGTATTTTTGAAAACTGATGTAAAGGAACTACTTAAGACCTGAGCATTTCACGGTCTATAAAATTTACTTAGCTTTTTAAAAAAAGACCATCTAAAATTATTATGGTTATTTTTTATTAATTCTTATATTTTGTGGGTGCCTGCTGAAATATATACAAATGCAAAAGATGTAATTCTTGGAATTTAGTAAAAAATGTATAGGGGATAGTGATAGAAATTGGGGAGTGGGTGCATATAAAGATGAAACATGATTAGCCATATGTTTAAAAATGCTGGAAGTTGGGAGACATACACAGGGGGGTCTCCATTCTCTCCACTTTTGTATATTTTTGAACATTTTCCATAATAAAAAGTTGAAAAGAGAGGCATCATCTGGGTTCATCGCATTATAAGAGAAAACTGAACCGGAGGAGGACAGAACTTGTTCGAGGTCTCAAAGCCAGACAACAAAGCCACGTTCAAGTTTAACCTTCTTCCTCTGACCCCAATGAAACAAAACATGAGATTTTTTGAAGACTAGTTTTAGAAAGGGCAGGTCCATAATAGGAGGAATTGTTTAAGCATACATATACTTATTTCCTGTCCCTGTTGCTTTCAAACAGGTTGTTTTTTTAGATTTAAATTGCATATGATTCAAATTTCAGACCCAAGTGACTGCCAGGGTCAGAGAAAGCATGCCTCCACCCCCAAATAAACACAAAACCAAAATAAGAACACAGCGAAGAGTTGGCTTTCTTTCTTCCGGTGCTGAAATCATCCTCGCAGGCAAAGCAAGCACAGGCATTCGGTGAGAGGGCGGAGCTTGGTTCTCCGTGCTGGTGTGATGGGGAACAGCTGCGTTCCCTCCAGCTCCCAAAGAGGTGAAAACGCGTTAAGCGATGCAATGATCGTCCTGAAACCTGCGCGTGCGTGTGTGTGGGTCTGTGTGAGCGAAGGGGTGGGAGTCAGCTCCCAGGCAAGCGGGATCCGAAGTCAGGAAGGTGTGCAGCGTCTTGGTTTCAGAAGGGGCGAAGGGTAAACGGGCTGTGGCGGTTCAGGAGGACACACCCACGCTGGATCTGTCTCCTCCACGCAGGCACTTGAGCGTGGAAAGTAAATCCCATTTCGAGAACGAAAACCCTAACGACCGCTTGGTTTCGACGGCTGGGGAATATTTATTCCTGGTTCAGCTGATGGGAAAACCTGTGCCTGGCAGCCCCTGATTGGTGGAAAAGAAAATGGTGATAGTGGGGTGGAAAGAGGATTTGACCAGCCTCCTCCTGCCTCCTCCACCTGTAACTCATCCTTCCTGGTCTCCTCTCCACCCGCGGGACCCTTTCAGGCTCAGGCCAGGTGAAGGGCAAACAGAAACCTGGAATATATTTAAGCAAAAGCAGCCTTAACCTTGTGTCCTAAGACCATTCATCAGATCTGAGCGACTCGAGGTAAACGTGCTCCAGGTGGTGCGGCTGGGAGCGCCTTTCTGAGCCTCCCGCCTCCTCAGCAGCTTGCCAGAGATCAGCTCTACCTTTGGTGGCGGATCCCCAGACCCCGCGCCCCCAGGGTGGCTCTGACGTAGGGGTCCCCGTGAGGAGCCAGAAGGAGAGGCGGAGGGGGGGGGGGGTGGGAGAGAGGGGAAGATGTCAGCCCAATCCTAACCGCTCGGATCGCCACGAGAGTCCCCGTGACCCTGAACTTGAGGCGAAGCGCAGAACACCCCCACCTTCCTGCCTGGAGCTGAGGTACAGCCTGCCCCCCCAGCCACACCCCCACCCCCATCTGAGGAGCGGAGTGAAGCGCACCCCGGCGCGGAAGGCAGCTGGCGCGGGGCGAGGGGCGGGGAGAGGCGCTGACAAATCAGCCGCGGGGGTGGCGAGTGGAGGGGAGGGAGGAGGGAAACGAGGAGGAGGAGGAGGAGGAGGAGGAGGAGGAGGAGGAGGAGGAGGAGGAGGAAGATTCCGACGAGAGAAGGGGACCCAAGAAAGGGAGCGAGCGACCGCGAGCGGCGACGCGGGGTGAGGTGGGTGCCGGCTTTAGAGCAGACCCGGGACCGAGCCTGGCCTTTAGCATCCTTCGCTCTCTCCCCGCCTTCCCTCCCGACCCCCGTCTGTTTCTCCGGGACCCACTTGTGCTGGGGACAGGGAGTGGCAATTCGACGACACGTTCGTGGGCTCGCCCCCCGCGACCCCAGCCTCTCCACGCGGGGCTGTGCCGCCTGCAGCCCGCTCTGAGGACCACCCCCTCCGGGTGCCGCCTCTGCCCTCCTGGTGTGCTCCGAGTCCCCCCTCTTCCCGTGGAAATCCTATTTGGGATTGTTTAATGTTCCGAAGAGGGAAGGGGGTGTCGGACGCCTGGGCAGCAGAGGGACCGAGGTAAGCTTGGTGCGTCCTGGCGCATCCTGCCCGGGGGGAGAGGCGTCTCCGCGACACCTGGCAGGGGCTGCGCGGCCGGAGGACCTCCGGGGCGTCTCTCTCCGAGTGGTCCTTTTCCCTGCGCTGAGCCTGCGGAAAGTAAGTTGACCAGGCTTTCCTCCCGATGCCGACATTGCCTTCCTCTCCCAGGCTGAGAGGTCAGGCTTCTCCGAGAGCAGCTTTTCCTTCGGGAAAAGCGAGGGTGCTGGAGGGAGCGAGAGCATCCAACTTTCTCTCTCGCCTTAACTCCCCCCGCTCCTCCCTCTCGGTTCTCTCCGAAAACGAGCTGTGTTGGGCAACTAGTTAAATGGAAGTGCAAGCAGGGCAAGTCAACAGGTTAAGGGGTTAACAGGTGCGGGAGCGGTGGACGCGAGCTCAGAGAACGCCCCCTGCGGTGGCGGGCGCGCGTCTCCTGGCTGCGGGCGGGCAGGGCCGGGCGCCTGTTCTGGGTAGATAGCTGGGGCTGGGGTGGCTGGTGGGGTGGATTAGAGCCAGTGCGGGTGGGCTCCCAGTTGGCCTGAGGTTCAGCCACACCCAGGGTGCGCAGGTCTCTTCCCTCCCCGTTCCCGGTCTGCCAATTAGACCTCCTCTGGGGTTCATTTTCAGAGAGTCCCTGACCCCATGCCTCCAGCTCCCTTTCTTTCCCTGTGATCTGTCTTCTGAACGTACTTCTCACACTGTCACCGTTTGGACCCTGGGAAGTTGAGAGACGGGTCCATCTTTTCCTGCAACTCCACTTGGGAAATGCAGTGAGAACAGCTGAGATGATTCATTCCAATCCATGTCTAGGCAGCTAGATTTGGACCAGCCAAGATGGATGGGGTATGCTCAATTTTTAATGCAAAAGCCAAAAAAAGGCTTCTTTGTCCAATGGTGGAAATAAGGGTGCACTTGAAAGACCCTCACACTTTTGGGAGTTCTACTGATCTTTCAGGGTGTTTCTAGTTTTGTTTTGCCCCAAAGTTCTCATTCAAAATGTATTTTGTGTTCTGCAGCGTGGTGTAAAGGAATTCACTAGCCATGGATGCATTCATGAAAGGGCTGTCAAAGGCCAAGGAGGGAGTCGTGGCTGCTGCTGAGAAAACCAAACAGGGTGTGGCAGAAGCAGCAGGAAAGACAAGAGAGGGTGTTCTCTATGTAGGTAGGTCAGCCCCGAGTGTCATTTTGATATTTATTTATGACTGATGAGTTAGGATGGTTGATGCTCTAAATGCTGATATTTCTCCCTTGATTCATGTTTACGTCATCACTTGTCAAAAGGATGGATGGAGTCAGTTATGTGTGGGTAGATAAATGTGTATATTTGAGCTAATAGTAAAAAGTGAGTGTAATCTTTTGTGTGCTTTTTTTCCCCAGATTACTGAATTTTGCAATAATGCCAAGGACTTTTTTTGTTTCTTTTAAAAAAATGTTTATGTGCATAAATGACTATTTTGGAGGTTTTTTTTTAAAAATCAGTATTTTAATATATGATCAAGAATATTTTTAAGAATCAAAATCATTCCAGGGTTTTTGGTTTCTTTGTCGTTATGAAGAATATTTGCTAATTTTAGAGTATTCTTTTTTAAAAAAAATAAGACTTTGATATGGTCCTGGGGTACCTAATAAGAGACCTGAAAAGGAAAGGACAGAAATGTCTTAGGTGGAGTGATTCCCCGAGATCACTTGGCAAGCTGGAGACCAAGAGCTCAAGAAAGTACTTGAGGGCTGCTAGTAACATCTCAGCGACATTTATATAGTTCATTTCTCAAATGATACACAAAATAAGCAATGAGATTGATGCTTATCATCTGTACCTTTCCCTAAATCCCCACCTTGGAGCATTCATGAAGACCTTGACTCTCTTTTTCTTATCTTAAACTATGTTAGATTGAGTATTATTTTACAAACTTCAGATTCTTTGGGAAAGGAACAGACACACATATATACACACTTATCCACAGGGACACAAATGCATACATGCACATAAATGCACGCATGCACACACTGCCCATTCCACCTCTCCTCCTTCTCCTCTGAGCTCCTCCACAGTCTCTGTTGGGCCCTGTAGCAGCAGTAGCCACAGGATGAGCAGGAAGGTGGGGGATGAGCCTAGTGAGTGGTGTAGGGTTCTATGCCCATATCTGTGGGGTGAAAGAATGCTACACTGTCTCCAATATGGATGGGCTGGAGAAAAGTTATTCTTAGAATGATTTTTATGGATGTTTCTCATATTTTTTTCTCATGGTTTATAGACTCTTTTATATTGGTTGATCTTAACACAAATCTTCAGTTTAATTACTTACATGATCTTAGAACATATTTTCAGGAACTCATTGAATTAAAGTGTTACAAGAGAACAACATTGATAAGTTAACTTCACATTTTTTCTTGTGAAGTGTAAATTATGTCTTTTTAGATGGAATTTGTGATACTGAATAGATGAGCATGCCGGTAATCAGTATCTTTATAGTTGTCCTCAGTTTTCCAAGTCATGCAACTACATGCTGACAAATAGTCTTTGATTTCAGTTACTTTATAACTTAGTAAC